AGTACTAGTACTAGTACTGGTAGTACTAGTAGTACTAGTAGTACTTAGTAGTAGTCGTAGTAGTAGTAGTAGTAGTAGTAGTAGTAGCAGTAGTAGTAGTAGTAGTAGTAGTAGTTGTTGTTGTTGTTGTATAGTAGTAGTGATAGTACTACTAGTAGTAGTTGTGGTAGTAGTGGTAGTAGTAGCAGTAGTAGTAGTAGTAGTAGCAGCAGTAGTAGCAGCAGTAGCAGTGCTGCTCATAGTAGTCGTCGTAGTAGTACTGATAGCGGTAGGATCAGGAATAGGATCGCGATTCGGATTAGGAATAGTGGTCATCGTCGGCTTCGTGGTCGTCGTTCACTCGTTGTCCGCGTCCTCGTCCATGTGGTCGCAGTCGTCGTCGCTGTCACGATGCTGTCGCCGTGCTGGCGTTGCTGCAACGCCCTCTTGCTGTCTAGTCCTGAAAAACGTGTACATAGCCTCTGGTAAACCCTAGGCCCTAAGCCCCAAGCCCCCTTCCAAAGGCATCTCCTTCCCCCCACTGGCGCCTTGCGATCCAAGGCTAGGCAGCTCCGCGGGCTCCCACGGCTGCGCCTTCGTACGGTGAATTCTCATGTCGCCCTGAAGTGCTTATAGGCTTAAGGGATGGAGCCGGGGGCTCTAGGATGGAAGCTGGTGTAGGATCTACTTGTGCTTGCTATCGCTGTGAAGCTGTCAGCCGACATATTTGGTCACCTTGTTCCCGTGAAGTTCCCGAGAACGAGGGTGACAGGGCTTGAGCGGCTTGGGGTGCAGTCCGGAGACTAGGGGCGCGAACAATTACACAAATGTAAGGATCCTGCCTGTGGGAAAGGAAAGCCTTAGGAGCAAGAATAAGCAGCTAAACAAAGAAATCTGAAGGTGATATACTCCTACAAGGCGGTAGGTTCCTACCCAAACCCCAAAGCCTAAAATCCTAAGTTAAAGGACCTAATGCTCAAAGCCCTAAGCCGCAAACTTGGACAATGCCTGAAATCCTTACTTAAACAGATAAGTGAAAATTACTAGTCCTAAACTCTCAAGGTGAGAGATTAAGCGGTCTACATCACTTGTGGAAGTAGCAGAAAGAAGTAGCTGTACGCACGGTAGCTGTACGCACGGGTGCGGCCAGCCGCGCGCAGCTCCCTCAGCAAAAGAACCCTTACAAATGCAATTCTATGTACTTTTAAGCTGCCTATGATAGCAAACACCCAGCAGTTTTTTGGGGCTTGCATGATTTGGGGGCTTTAATTTCAGCTTGAGGGGGTTGTGGAGACGGCTTTAGGCTCTGGCTGTCAAGGGAAGCTCCGCAGCAAAACATCCCCAGCTCCGAACAAACAAACCTAAACCCTAGACCGTGCGTGACAGCACTTTGAGCCGCAAACGAAGCGAGAGAGCACCGGCCCAACGCACAAGAGTCAGTCAGTGAGACCAAATCCCACCATAAGCACAGCGGAACCCAACTCGAGCCCTAAACACCCCAAAAGTTTTAAACCCCAAACCCACACTCCTGAACCCTAAACCGCAACTCCCGAAGCCTTCAAACTTCCTTATCGAGCCCAGAAAGAGCTCTAAAACAGACTTAAACCCTATTCCTATACCCTTATCGAACCCTGAAAGATCTGTACAACAGACTTCAAACCCTCAATCCGCGCTTCCCCGAGCCTTCACGAAGACGTCCGCCGCCTCCGGCGTGGGCGCGTGCCACGCTGCATAGGGAGGCCTCAGGCCTGGGATTCGAGTTTGTGCTGGGGTGTGGGGCTTTAGGGTTTAGGGTTTAGGGCTTTAGGGCTTTAGGGGGTTTTGGGCTTTAGGGCTTTTGGGGTTTTATGGAGATTAGGGCTTTAGGGGTTTAGGGTTTAGGGCTTTAGGAGGTTTAGGCTTTTCTCCCTCTCGAATTGCTGGATCAAAGCTCACGGCGAGGTTGTTGGGCTTTTAAGGTTTCGACACACACACTCGCACGAAGCTGGCATGGCAAGAGAAGGTCCCGAGCTTTAACGTTTAGGGTGTATGGTTTTAGTTTGAAAGGCTTCAACCAAAAGGCTTAGGGTTTAGGGTGCGGGGTTGTGATTTCAGTGTTCAAGGTAAAGAGGTTTATGGTCGAGGGTGTATGGTTTTCCGGATGTGTGGTTTTAGTTTCAGAGTTTCTGTGTTTCGAAGTACAAAGGCTTAGGCTGCGCGTTTATGCTAGCTCCTTGTTCCATCAGACTGAAGGCATTTAAGGTACAGGTAAAAGGGGGTTTAGGCTGCAGGATTCAGAGCATGAAGGTATAAGGGTTGCGACTCTCACGCTCGCTCAAGGCAGGCATAGCTTCGCGCGACGACCCAGCTACAATTTGAGGCTAATGATCGCACTGTCGGCAAACCACAACAAAATCCGTACTTGCAGCTCCTGAGCCAAGCACAATCAACCTACAGCTACCAGGGCAAGTGACATCATTCAAGATAACATTGAACTCAATAAACCAAGCACCAGCCGCTACCCCTTTTTTGCTAAACCAAGGCCGAGCCTCCCCACTAAGCAGATATCACTTGCCTGACAACTACAAAAGACAAGGATCTCCTGTAGCAAAAAGGAAGGAACCGCAGGGCTCTAGGGAATAGTAGTAGTAATTACCCAGGCAGAGTCTTCAACTGATCCTGCACAGCACTGCTGTCACCCCCATCGCTGGGTGCACCCCAGGTAACGACGGATCCGTCGCGCAGGATGGCAGCAAAAGCACCGTAAGAGGCCTGGATCTGCTGCACATTCTTCAGCTGATCCTGCACAGCACCACTGTTACCACCAAAGCGAGCATTGCCCCACGACACCACAGATCCATCACTAAGAATGGCAGCAAAAGCACCCTGGGATGCTTGGACCTGCTGCACACTTGCCAGCTGATTCTGCACAGCCACACTGTCACCACCACGGTCAGCATTACCCCAGGTCACGACAGAGCCATCGCCACGAATGGCAGCAAAAGAATCTCTGGAAGCTTGGATCTGCCGAACATTCTTCAGCTTTTCCTGCACGGCACTGCTGTCGCCACCGCTGCATGGAGAACCCCAGGTCAGGACGGACCCATCTTCGAGAAGGGCAGCAAAAGAGTTGCTAGAGGATTGGACCAGCTGCACATGCTGGAGCTGCGCGTGAAGCGCGCGACTGTTCAAGCTACGGCCACAATAACCCCAGGTCACGACGGATGCATCGGCGCGAATGGCAGCAAATGCACTTTCCGATGCCTGGATCTGCTGCACATTCTTCAGATATTCCTGCACATCACTACTGTCACCACCCTGGCCAGCGGCACCCCAGGTCACAACAGATCCGTCAGCAATGATGGCAGCAAAAGCCCCCTCAGAGGCTTGGATCTGCTGCACATTCCGTAGTTGATCCTGCACGGCGTCACTGTTACCACCATAAAAAGCATCACCCCAGGTCACGACAGACCCATCCCCCACAATGGCTGCAAATGCAAGATGGCAGGCTTGGATTTGCTGCACAGTTTTCAACTGCTCCTGGACAGCACTACTGTCACCACCATACTCAGCATCACCCCAGGTCACGACGGATCCGTCCCCCAGAAGGGCAGCAAAAGCGAGGTCAGTGAATTGGATCTGCTGCACATTCTTGAGCCGATCCTGTACAGCACTACTGTCACCACCACCCTCAGCGCTGCCCCAGGTCACCACGGATCCGTCCGCAAGAAGGGCAGCAAAAGCATCGCGAGAGGCTTGGATCTGCTGGACATTTTTCAGCTGATCTTGCACAGTACTACTGTCCCCACAACACTCAGCATCACCCCAGGTTACCACGGATCCGCCAAGTATGGCAGCGAAAGCGGTTTCGGTGGCTTGAACTTGGACTCGCATCACATGCAAGGTTAACCTGTCGCCGTTCTGAACTCCCGCTTTCATGACCGTCGCGCGTAACTCCACAACGCTTCCCGATGCATCCAGAAGACGGCCTGGTCCGACTCCAAGTGCAGTCTGTGCCCGACATTTCAGGATCCTCACTTCTTCATCCATGTCTGCTCGAACGGTCGCTGTCTTGCCACTGAGCAGTCCAACTTCCACTGTCACCGACATGCTGCCCAACAGCTGTCTGGCTTACAGAAACTGATGCACTAAACATATTATTGGTGGAAAAAATCTCCCCCACTAAACATGTTATTGGGGAAAGAATATTTTTCCCCAAGAATATGTTTGGGGATGAAGTTTCAGGCGTTGAGCTCATAACGACCTGATTGTTAACTCGGGCCTCTGGCTTGCTATGGTTGATCTCATACACCCTGAGCCAAAATGGCCAGGGCTAAGGTATAAGTCCTCCTGAACCCTCAACCCTATGTGCTACTGGACTCAAGTCTAGCCAGACGACGTCCTGCCCGAAAATCCAACCCTACCTATAGTCTCCATGGTAGTTCCTTTTGGGGGTTACCTTAAAGGATCCTAAACAACTACTTGGTTAAACTAAGAAATACACTGGAGACTCTGGGTAAGTTAGTTCAGGGTGTCCGGTTTTAAGGCCTTGGGGCTTTAGGTGCCTACGGCGGTACTACGGGATTGGGCTTTGGTGACGTTCAGCCTCCTTGTTTAAGGGATCTTGGTGTCATCATCATCAACATTATTACTAACGCGGCTATGATTGTCATATTTACTACTACTATCTTTCGCTATCATTAGTATTTACAATGATTATATTTATTCGTATTATTGCTATTAGACGAAACCGGGCGTGGAAATATGCATCGCCCTATTTTGGACGCTGATTCAAGCAATTACACCTCAGCCCCGGAATACACAGCACACAAGCCTTAATCCTTCAGGTGACACTAGCTTCTTGATCGTTGCCGGAACCCTAAATCCTAAACCCTAAACCCTAAACCCTAAAAATCGAAACTTAACGGAAGCTCGCCGATGCTCCTGCTGTCGGCACGGATTACTTTGTTGATGCGATTTGGCAGCGGATCACGAAGATGACGGCGGTTTCTGTGGTTGCATTGCTGCAGCTGCAGCTAAGAATCTCCGGACTGTTGTTGCATGGCCTCAGCTGTAGCTAAAGATTTCCGAAGCATTACAATCAAAATAAGCCCCAGTATGGACGTCGAAAGATGTGTAGCTCCTCAACAAGATTCGAGTTGAACCCTCCCCTCGTATGACTTACTATCGCCCACAGTAAGATGAGTATCATGAATGCCGAAGTACATTTACATATATATATATATATATACATATATATATATATTGTAGTCTGAGGCTTTTTTAACCTTCCGCCTTGAAGAGTTTACACAAGCTGGGCGGCCGCAATCTCCGGCAGCTTTCCATAAGTCCGAGGAACCTGGGGCAGGAACGAGGATTTGGGTTTTGGGTTTAGGGCTTAGGGTTTAGGGCTTAGGGTCTCGAATGCTGTTGGGACTTGACCACACAATTCGCACAACACAGGCAAGGGGCAAGGCTTCGCCGTTCCGGGCTCCGACTCTCGCAATTCGCACACGTTTCGGGTTTAGGGTTCACGCTGCAAGGTCTTGTTCTCGGGGGGGTACTAACCCTAAACCCTAAACCCTAAACCCTAAACACTACGAAATACACATGCTTAGAACAGACGTGTAGGCACCGGCAGGCCTCCGCTTCCTCCGCTCGCGGGGACATACATATGGGTGGTTGTCAAAATTAGGGTCCCTTTTTGGGTACCCTAAATATTAGATGCCGTATTATAATAAGGACCCAAAAAGGGATCATAATTTTGACAACCACCCATATATACTCTTGAGTTGTTGAATCCCTGTACAAGGTTCCTGCACTGGCGGATTCTGGCCTTGGTTGAAGAGACATGATGCTATCTGTCGGTTTAGCTAGAACCCCTACACCCTAAATCCCAAAAGTCCTAAATCCTAAGTTCTAAACTTCTACTGAACCCTGAAACTAGAATCCGCATTCGGTCTTCCACTTCTTTCACAAGTCTATTTCCAAGCCTCTGTGCAATTCCGTTTAACGGATTCCCTGCCAAGGTCTACGAGCTTGATTTGCGTAACTGTGCATCATGCGGCCAACACAGACTTGAACTATTCGAGCTGCGACACAAGGACCCCTGGCATCAAGAACCTCCTTGAAACTTCAAAACCACGGGACGCCACAGCTCCCCGACGGCCTGAGATCGAGTCGGACAGCGCGTATTGAATCTGGCTGGCGGAGGTACTGGCATCCTCCTGGCGTCACGCGGATTTCGGATTTACATCAAGGCCATGGAAGAATTCAAGTCTCTGCTTCATCACACAGCACCACCACCGGCCCTGGACCCCTAAACGGGCTATGCTCGCCGCTTTCCTAGCCCTTTGGGTCCTCAATCAGCATTCGGCCAATGCTTCTGGCTGGGCACGAGAGCGTGGGACGCCCAAAGATCTCATCCTTACAGAAGGTCGGGCTCTGTAGTGATGTGGAGTCGGCAATGGCACCATGCCGCTGTGCAGACGAGCCCGAGCGCTCATAGGGGAACTTATAACTAACAGTTGTATGTTTGCATATATTGGCTTGTTGATTTTTTCTCGGCTTAAGTTTATGTCTACAGATGTGTGGTGCATATGGATGTGCATATATATATATATATGTAGAGAGAGAGGGGAGATACACGTGTTTTTATGCGACACTTTCTGTATATTTGTATATGCATTTATATGTATGTATATATATATATATATATTGTTAGTATACTTCTATTCTAGGCTTTCATATTGACATTTTTACTCATACTCATGTGTTTGTATCGTAATATAGCCCAAACACTCTTCTTCCCATTCAGGCTCCCATAAGATTTCAATTTAGGCCCCCAAACCACTCCGTGCAGAAGTCTGGAAAAATGAATCCCTGCAGGGAGGCTGTCCGTGCCGGGCTGTTCACGTGGATGAACGTGTTCCGCACCTGCGCTCTGACATGGTTGGGTTTAGGGTTTAGGG